TATTATTATTTCAATACTAATTAATTTTGATTAAAATTAATCAAGCTCGATTAAAATTAATCAGGCCCGATTAAAATTAATCAAGCCCAAACTAATCTCAAATTTTATCGAGTTTCACATGTTTTATAGTGCAAAAATTTATTTTCTTAAATATTTCTTATCGATGTGGGATATATTTATAGTGTAAGACTTTACTCTCTTATATGTTTTTTTATCGATGTGGGATGTATTGATTAGAGAAAATTGATAGTTTTTAGTAATGAAATATATTTTTTAGTGATGAATTATTTGGTCATCATTGAATGTGTGAGGTATATGTGACTAATATTAAAATTTTGTTATAATTGTAATGCATTATAGTGATGATTTTTATCGACAAAAACTTATTTTATCTATATGAACTTTTTTTTTTCACGAAATATATTTTTTAGTGATGAATTATTTGGTCATCATTGAATGTGTGAGGTATATATGACCAATATTAAAATTTTGTCATAATTGTAATGCATTATAGTGATGATTTTTATCGACAAAAACTTATTTTATCTATATGAACTTTTTTTTTTCACGAAATATATTTTTTATGATGAATTTTTTTGTTTATCATTAAATATGTATGCATCTGTGACTATTTTTTTAGATCTGTCACAATTGTGATAAGTTATAGTGATGATTTCAAAATTCATCACAAATTTCTGTCACCAAAAATCATTTTTTTTGTAGTGGTCGTTTGAGAAGGCTACTTTCATTTTTTTTTTTTTATTATTATCATCAAAACTACTTTTAGGATATAATCTTTTAGCATTTTGTTTGATAAATTGTAACTTATTACTCAATAAATTTTATGAAAAATCAAATAAAACACAAATGAACATGCCAAAATAGCCACTAAGTCATTGTCCAATTTGTCACCTACTGCTTTGACCAGCTCTTATTATCACAACATGTCTTCGCAATTTGTACTTTTCCATCATTAAAAAATAATACACATAACATACTCTATCCATCAAATCTTACTGAGAACCAGACACAATGATGAAAAGAAAACAAACCATAAATTCCATTAAGATAGCACCCAATCCATAACATTATCTTATTCTTACACCAGACAAAACAATAATATATTAGAGGGAAAAAAAAAACACTAAGAGAAGGGCTTCTGATTTTCGCAGTCTAGGTTTGGCCCGGTGTCCACATTAAACACCTTAGCATATCTCTGGAAGTATCCAATCCGATCGTTAACACGTCCGTCGTTGGAGATTCCACACTCCAATCCTCCGTTGATAATGTTGGTCACTAATCCATACCCTGCTGTCCGGTTAGCTGCCAAGTCAGCCTCTGTTGGAACGTATTTCCCGACCATAACGTCGTGGCAAGACGGTTTAGGTTTCTGTTCGGTCATCCAGAACCAAAGAGAAGTCTTGAATGCAATCAACGAGTCGTTGGCTACGATTTCTGGGTTCTTTAAACCGTCGAAACCTAAGGCCTTTCCTGCAGGACCATAATTGTAATTCCTGCAACATTGTCAAATTTACCATCTGTTATTTATAGGACTAAAGATCCAAATATTTATGTTATATAACCACCTGAGTTTCGCAGCTCAACAATTGTAAGGTAGATCTATCACCTTAAGAACTGAAATTCCAATTTTTTATCATGAATGTAAACCCGTTTTAAAAAATATATTTATGTTATAGAAAAGCTTGCAGCATTATCAAAAATGTTTTTTTAAATGAATGTTTTCTTAATTAAATTGTATATAATTATAAAATATATACTTTTAAATAAAAAAATAAATTTTTTAATATTATAATTTTTTTTATATTTTTTTATTTTATAATTTAATATAATTTAAATTACAATTAAATTACAACAACAATGAAACCATACTTTCTTTACAGTTGTCCTGCTCATTGAAACGTCCAATCGGATCTAAAAAAAAAAAAAAACCCCTTGAATGCATTAAAGATTCATTAATGGTACGTTTTGACTTTTCCCAAGCCAGACTGGTGTTGAAGTGATGTTTTTAAAGATACAGAGCATATGAATTACCATGATAGTTGAATGGGGCCTCTTCCTTTGTAAGATTTCCCAGGGAAGCAAGGCCAATCTTTGTTGGTAGAGTCACAGTAGTTGCTCTGAGGACTGACTTCCTCCTTGAAGCAGAGACCCCAAGCATATGGTCCATCCGGCGCGGTGGCCCACCCACCGGTGGTCTCATGCGATATCTGAGCTAGAAAAGCAGCAATTTCGCGCTTGCGAGTGGTTAAACTTCCTGCGTTTCCGAATCTTGGAAAGAAAGCAGTAGCTTGAATGAAGGACTCGTAGGTGTAGAAATCTTTTGCCGGACATGCATTATCGTCCTTGTGCAAAAATATGGAATTGAAGAGATCTTCAGTGATCAGGGAAGAAATAGGAACTAAATTTCGAGCTCCGGCTCCTTGCATTGTGAAGCAGAAGAGAACAGAGCATAAAACGAAGGAGAAGGAGAGAAGAGGAGAAAAAGCCATCATGCTGAAAGCTCGGATTTGATTGTAAAGAACAGATTTGGAGGGTCTTTTTTTTTTTTTTTTTTTAAATGCCAAAAGGTATTTTATAACTCTATGAAAATCAATTAAATCGATTAATTTTTTTTTTTTTTTTGGAATATGATTTGGAGGGTCTTATTATATAGAGTAATGCACGTTTGTAATAGTTAAAAAAAAAAAAGTCAGACTATAAAAGAAAAGTCAAATTATCCAGAGAGTTTGACTTGTTATAAGGGTTTAGTTGGGTTAATTCTTGTTAAATACTGTTTTCTAATGAAGGGCAAGAGGAATTGAATGAAAACAAACTTTAAGTAAAATTTTAATAAGATTTTAAAAAGTTTTAAATTTTAATTTTAAAATGAATAGTAAAAAGTTTGAAAACAAAAAAATCTATCTCATTATTTTATATTGTTTATTGTGAAATATATCATATAAATAAGATAAGATTGAAACAAGAATTCTTTCATATGACTCAGTGAATGAATCATGTTATTCCAAAAAATAATATGTGCAATTCATTAGTTTCAATTTTAATATTGATTTATAAACAGATACTACCACTTAACTAATGTTTCTCCGTAAAAAAAAAAAAATTGGTAAAAAAAAAAATTGAAACAAAGAATTAAGACTAACTTTTTAAGGAGTTGAAAAGGAAAGGAGATCAGTGAGCGCGGAAAGTGGATGTGGTAGTGGTCAAACTCAAAAGTGGAATGTAGATGAAACGCACATGGGCATGTCTGTGGTGCCGTGTGAAAGGATTAAGGGGGAGACCATTTCCATCGAGTACTGAGTCAACCTCCGTGTTCTACAAAGAATGTCAACCCAACTATTTTTTCTTTTTTTTCTTTTTTTTTTTTATAATAGAAATGTTATTTGCGCATGAGAATTGAGTTGGCCCAATTGAGGCATCCAAGGCCTGTCAAATACATTACTCAATTGCAGGCCTGCTTGCTCCAACAGTTTATTTACATCCCAATCCCTTGGCCAACCAATTATTGATCCAGGCCGAAACAATTCAAACAAGATTCTAGTTTCACCCAGGTGAAGCATGTTTTCATAGAGTCTAATTAACACGCGTGAGAACCAAAGTTTTTTTTTTTTTTTTTTTTCAGCTTACATATGTATCTTATTACTAGTATGATTGAGGTTGAGTTTCCCATAGACTAGTTGTACTACTTTGTTTCCACTTATATATCTCCCTTATTCACCAAAAGAAAAACTTGATTCTTTTTCAAAAAAAAAAAAAATTTCTAAAAAAACCATGATCCTAATTTCTAAGCATTTAAAAAATATATATCAACTATTAGGCTGAATTAATTAATTAATAGGACCTTTAATTCAATTAAGCAATTAAATTAGAAGTCTTGTATGTTGCCGATTGTGTTATAGTGCTATTTGAACGCTACTTATATTTCTATGAGTAGATGTTTATTTGATGAGATAATTGTAGGATGAACTGCATATTTTATAATTATTAGTGAATGTTGAATCACTTTAATATTAGCGGCTCACTTCTTATTAATGGTTATAAGATTTGCAATTTACATTTTTTGCTATTTAATAGTTGGTAGCAATCGATTCTCATTTATCAGCCTCCAGAAACTCCAATACACACAAGTATTAGAGAGATGTTGATATTTTTGGAAGAAAAGAAAAATTAAAGTGGTCCTGTTAGAAAAATCAAGACAAATAAATAGATGGAAAGTCCATGAATTGATGAATGAGGGTGTAACTTGACAAAATGTGTAAAGGCCCATTTCAAGTTTTCTACCCATCCCTGTCAAGGAGTTTTAAATGGAGTAACGTGGGAGTTCAATTACCTTATTTAGGGGGTTCCTTTCCTTTCGTCCCCTTCATCCAAGACCAAGACCATTCTTCAACACTTTTCCAAACCCTAAACAAACCACCTGCCTGCATTTATTTCCGTTTTAGTTTCCCAACTTTACCTTTCTTTCACCAAAGCCCCTGCCTCAATTTGCCTAATTAAGTAGAAATCTTGAATTCAATTATTGAGTATACTGAACTACTGTATTACCTCCAGTCCTGTCTAATTTAATAATCTTACTTTAATTATTCAATGTTATTAAAAAAATTTATTTATTACAATAATTAAGGTTTATCTTTTTATTTTTATCTTTATTTACAATTAAACAAAAAAATCTTAATCCTTTTTTTTTTGAAATAAAGGTAAAATTGAAATACTAACATTTGATGTTTTATTAAAATGAAAAGTGAGATAATTAAATTATATCACCCCTATTTAAAATGTAAGACAATTAAATCAAATTAAAACAATATAAGATATGAAAGAAAATGATTCTAAGATCATAAATGAAAGGGTGTCTCAATTAAACCTTTTTATAAAATATAGAGAATTATCTTGAGATAGGTAGAAGATTGTTTATAAAAGAGTAGGTAATATCCTATATCATTGTCAGATGATTTTGCCTTTTCTTCATTAACCTCTCCTTTAGAAGAGACAAACCATGATGATGATAAATTATTGACTATGTTTTACATTTTGTGTAATGATGACATACTTTCCAAGCTCATTTTCTCGTCAAGTTTCTTGTTGAGTGAAAACTCTACCAACTCCGATGGCGGTCCAATGATGTTGAAGCGCCGGGAGGACTCCAAACCAAACTGAAATGCATGTGTTTTTCTCTGAGTTAACAAAGTCAAGACAATATATTTAAGCATGGAAAACAAAATGACTGAAATTAATTTATAACTATACTCTAAACCGGTTCTTTAGCTGAGCTACAAAATATGTATATAAATCATTGTTTCCTATATAAACGGTCCTCAATCAATGATCTGCTCGAATATGAACTTAAACTTGAAAGTTAAAAACTCAAATCGCTTTGTTGTTGCCTAAAAAGGAAGATGTATTTTAATTGTTGTCTATAGATTATTATATTTCGGAAGCAAGTTGTTTAACGATGTAAAACCCTGACCTATCTAAGATTTTACAGCTAGTTTGTTCTTGATGGGAAATATTGCTTAATTTGTAGAATGCTATATAATTTTTGAGAAAAATGAAAATTAAAGTCGTTAAATGTTAGGATTATATGTGAAATTATTTAAATAAATATATATTTTTTATCCAACAAATATTAATGTGCAAGTTTAGCAGCTAAGAAAGCTACTACAGAAGAATGAGTATACTTCTCACTTTTACAAAGGCTAATCACTAAACAAAGTTTTCAATCCCCAAATTTAAAGCTATAGAAAGGGATAAAGAGGAGGATTTTGGACAAGAAAATCTCAAAATCTTATCCCTAACATCTCGCTAGACTTCATCAACAATTGCTGCCTCTGGCCTGTATGTTTTTTTTTTTTTCGCTAGACTTCATCAACAATTACTACCTCTGGCCCGTATGTTTGTTGATGGATCTTTTTATTCCTCTCCATCCATGCATGATACACAACCACGTTCCAAGCCAATTTGATTCAAGACAAGTGAAATCATTTAGGATAAGTGCAAGGATTTCCTACCATTATTCTTTCATATCCAATTTAACAAGCTGTTGTAGGTAGGTATTTAAAAGTATTTAAGTTTTTTTATTATTAATTCTGACATTTTAATTAACAAAATGTCTTAATTTTCCACATTCCAATAGTTTTATATATATCATTGATTGATAAGCAATTAATCACATAGCTCGAAAGTCAAGCCTTAAGCTGAGCTAAACAAAGGGTTCTTATGTATTAGACCTAGGTTAGGCGGAGAATTCCTTTCATCAAGTTTCCTTCACAAAATAAACCCAGAGACCCCTAGCTACCTATGGATTGCTACAATCTTTTATCTATTGAACTTGATCATATTTATTTAAAAAACTTCAAAATGCAGAGACGCTTAACTGGAGATCTACAAAAAGGTTATGAGATGCCCTGCAATGGAATTTGGCCAAAATTTTAAGAATCAAAAAAATTTTTGGAGCTAAATGATTTGAAAAAAAAAATGAAGGGGCATAGCCATTTCATATTTAAGGGTTTTGAAATTTTTAGTTGGGGCTTCAATTTGTATGAAGGTCCATCCCAAGGTCGTTCTCTTTCCAAAGAGAATGGCCCGCCCAACTGCTAAATTAAGATATTAAAAAGGCAATATACAGTTTGTGCTCTGTACATTTTATATATATTTATTAATAAGGATAAATCTCTTAATATATAGGTGTTTTTTTATTAATAATTACAAAATATATAATTTATTAAAACAAATGATAAAACAACTATCTCACATGTAGGTTTAAGTTGATAATATTGATTTGTAGTTATAATTGTAAGTTTTTTAGTTCTTTAACACTTTAAAAATATATAAAATATATTTTATACATCTAATATTTATTCTAATTAATATTCTATATATTTTTTAAAAAATAAAAAATTAAAATTCAAAATTAAAATACAAAAATGTAGTGTCAAAACGAAATAATAGCGTATATACTTGGGCAAGCTCCATCGAGATTGCTAACCAAATTTCCAGCTACGGGGCCGCTTTGTTTTACTTGCCTAATAAATTTTCAATTAACATTTTCTTTTAATAAAACAAGTCCAAACGCACGTTTGCCGTTTGCATCACGCATTGTATTGCATGTGACTTTTCCCGTTTTCCACGAGCCCCTATTAATCTTGAATAATCTTTTTCCCCGTAATCTCCTACTACAGATTAGTATTTCAATTTTTAAACTCACTGTATTACTGTACTCTAGCAGTATTCATATATTTATGGTAGCACCAATTATACCAATGACCTGTTGGTCAGATTAGAAGAATCTTGGTTCTCCTTAAATAAAATCTTGAGTTCGAATTTTGTGAATAGAGAAACAGACGTTGGGAGAGTTTCCTCTCAAATGGAATCTGATGCAGCTCGATTCTGGATTAATCGAGATCCAATTTGATTACCGAATACCGAAAAGTTAACAAAAAAAAAAAAAGGAGCAACAATTATTTTGAGACAATAAATTATAAATTAATGAAGTTATGGATTGAATAGCTAAATATATGCTCTTACTGTTGGCTCACTGCCTACAAAATGATTTGGTCAAATTGTTAGTATGTGCAAAATTTTTTTGGTTCGTTGTTAGTATGTACAAAAATAATAATGAATTAT